GGCTGTAGTTTTGGGAGACGGGAGGGAATGCCCGGCTAAGGAGGGGATGGTGCAGGCAAAGGCCTGGAGGTAGAAAGGCAGCCGGTGTGTGGGAATGGTGGGCCCAGTCAGATGACTCAGAATCTTAGCCTCCTCGTTTGAGGCTGAGCTAGCTGCAGTGGGGACTTGACTTGCTCACATGGGCAAGGACGGGCACTGGCAGCAGCTCTGGGGCTCTCACAAGGCCTCGTTTAGACATGGGGGGGCTTGAGTCTGAGGGGGCATCGGGGGATGTTGGACCAGGTTGAGCTGAGGACTCTGGAAATGCCACCGTGGGCGTGTGCCTTCCTGGCATGAGAACAGGTGCCTCCAGGTGTGCCTAGTGCCCGCTTATGCTCATGCGTGTTCTCTCTCTTTCAATAAAAGCAAACAAACCCTCTCCTGGCCCCATGTTCAATGAACAGGGAGGAAATAATGAGTGCATGCATGCAATACATGTATGACTTGGTGGGAAAGGGCCTGGAGAGAGAAGGCAGGCCACCGCCCCACGCATCCTGCTCCATGGCCTTTTCCCTGTTTCAAGGGTTTGGGGGGCCAACTGTCAGTACCAGGCTCCTTCTGCATAGTAGTGAGGGGAATGTCCCAGCTCCACCAGAAGTCCCTTTATTCTCTCCTTTCAATGGAAACACTCAGGTATTTTTAGCCCTGGTGGCTCAGCTATTTGCTGGTCAGGTTGGAGCAGAAATGGAGGCCCCACCCCCACCCCTCCCATGGTCCCCACCACCCACCAGTGGCTGGGAGGGACACACAGCAGGTGGTAAGCTGCAGCCAGGTTCTGAGTGCTCAGGCTCTCTCTTTGGTGACAGTGGTGATCTGGCAGTCGGCAGGGATGGTATCCAATGACCATCTTCCTTTCTCTTCAGGGGCACAGAGAAGCAATCAAGCCTACCAGTCATGGCACAGGCAGACAGAGCTGGACCCAGACTTTGCTCCTCCCTCTGTCCAAATGTGGGAACCACACAGTGGATGGGATTGAGCAAGGCCTGGGCTGCTGACCAGCTTCACACGTGTATAGAATGGGGTGCATGACACCTTCACACAACCCCAGCATCCAAGCTTGGGACCACTAGAAGGTGCTCCTGTGCCCTGCGGGGTCAGACCAGGGGCTGAGGAGCCAAATAGGGACCCGAGGGATGCCCAGCTTTTTGGGGACAGAGGGTTCCCTTGGGGAGCTTGTAAAAGGAGCCCCTTGGAAGAGGGGCAGTAGGGCCAGAGTCACAGCCAAGTCACAGCTACACAGGAACATTTTGTGAAAGGCTCAGCCTGGCCAGTCTGGACTGCAGAACAGGAAGACCCGGAGACCCAGGGTGTGTCCTAAATACAGCTGTTAGAAGAGGGAGCAAGGGCACCAAGGCTAGGAATGGAGGGAAGGCCGTGGGGACAGTGGGCATTGTCTTGCCTTGGCAGTGGCCTTGATTTGCATTTCCAACATGATCAGGAGCACTGAGAACCTTCCACGCACGTGTTGGCCTTGTGCATGTCTTCCTTGGAGAAATGTCTATTGAGACTCTTTGCCCATTGTTGAATTGGGTTGTTTGTATCTTTGAGTTGAAAGGGTTCTGTGTATGTTATAGATATTAACCCCTTATCAATATATAATTTGCAAACATGTTCTCCCATTCTACCTTTTTACTACTGTTAATAGTGTCCTTTGATGCTCGTTTTTAATTTTAATGGAGTCCACCGTATCCCTTTTTTTTCTTTAGCTGCCTATGCTTTTGGTGTCATAGTCAAGAAATTGTTGACAAATCCACTGTCATGAAGATTATCCCTTACACTTTCTTCTAAGTTTTCTAGCTTGGGCTCTCATGTTCAGGCTGCTGAGTTAGTTTTGTACATAGTATGCAGCAGGAGTCCAACTTCATTCTTTTGCATATGGACCTTCTTCCTGTTTAACCCAGCTCCTGGAGCAGCAGCCCCTGCACACAAACCTGTGTGCCCACAGCCTGGCTCCCAGCAGGCCCTGAGAGCTGGGGGCGTTCCTACTCCAGGCAGCCTCCAAGCACACTGGCCCCTCCCCACAGGGTGGGCACAAGACCTGGAACAATCAGCCAGAATCCTTCTCCCAAGTTTTATATTGACTGATAATGCACAAAGCCCTCATCCTCTTTAAGCCTCAGTTTCCCCTTTGTACCCGGGGAGCTGAACCCAGTGAAATCCCCTCTCTTCCTGCTGCATTTTGGACACACAGAAAAACCCCTAGCATGCTGGGAATATTATATGAGGTCTGGTCCCGACTGCCTGTTCCAACCCCACCCCACCCCACCCTCACCCCTGCTCACTGTGCCCCAGGCACACAGCCTTTCCCTGCTCACCCCACCTCCTGCTCCTTTTACCCAGAAGGCTCTTCCCCCACAGCTGGGTGCTGCTCCACAAACTTAGCAGCTGTAAACAAGGCACACTCAAGTTCTGTGCAACAGGAGCCCAGGCTTAGTAGGGTCCTCTGCTCAGGGTCTTGAAAGTCTGAGCTTGCATTCTCCAGCCCTCATCTGAAGGTCACAGGTTGTGGTGGCATTCAGCTCCTTGCTACTGAAGGCGGAAGGTCCCAGCTTTCTTGCTGTCTGCCAGCAGGGAGCCATTCTCAGCTCCCAGATGCTGCCCCCTGTCTTCTGCCATGTGGCCCTGCCTACAACATAGAAGTGTGCTTCTTCAGGGCCGAAGCCAGTGCTGGATAAATGTTGTGAACCGGTGAATGGATGAACAAGAGGCCATCTCCAAGAACACGTGTGCCAGCGTGCAAGCTGATCAAAATAGCTCCTGGGCTGAGGATACCAGGTCTGAGGTAGCCTTTTGTCCACCCTCCGCCCTCCTCCCACTCATGTTCCAGGGAAATGCTTCTTCTGCTCTCCACCAGTCCCAACACTCTCCTTCCGGTGTGAAGGTCTTTGAGCCTCACACCACTTTCCACCAGGATGGGAGTTCTCTCTGCTGGCTGGAACTCAGCAACCAGGGCGGAGGGGCCACATCTCTACCATCTCCAGATATCTCCTTGCCACATGCAAACATGGAACCAGGACACTGGCCTGAATCTCCTGTTCCACAACCTTCCATGACTCCCATGGCCCACAGGATCTGGCCCAGGCCCCCACAGTCACATGCCACATCTGGTAAGGGTCCTCAAACTACACCCCCCATCACTCCTCCAGGCCACCCCCACCTCTCAGCCCCCTGAGCAGAGCCCACATGGACCCCTGATTCTCTCTCTTTACTCCAGCAGTGGCCACCACTTTTTACTGGCTGTGGCTATTTGCTGGGTGCGTTCCCTGTGCAGCCCTGCACAAACCTCCTGGAATCTAAATGAGAAAGATGGTGTTAGATTCATAGGCCCATATGCCTCAGCAAGAAGCTGGTCTCTTCAAGTGCAGCTCAGCAGCCATAGGTGCTGTGGGGACAGGCCCAACTGGGGCACTTGTCACAATGCACGGTTCCAGGACCACCGTGAACCAAAGCTGGGTGCCCAGAGAACAGGTGTCTCAGACAAGCCCCTGACGATTCTGGCACCCCGAAGTTGAGAACTACACAGCCCGGGAGGCTGTGTCTCCAGCCCAGGCACACCTTGGTCACTGTGGGGACCCAGGAGTGGGCAGCCCCTTTGGAGTTCAGAGCCTGGGAGGGATTTGGAATGCTCACGTTTCGTTCAAGGGGGCTGGGCCCTCTGGCTTTTGTCATCTGGGACCGCGTCACTACAGCCAGTCCCTCTCTCTGCGCCACTGCTAACCCGGAGTTACCCTACGCAAACCTCCCTCCCCAGCCCAGCAGAGCCACAATAAGACCCCCAGCCTCATTTTGCTCCCCTAGAGTAACAGGACGGCTGAAAGCACATGGAATTCAGCCACTGGGCATTTGCTAAGAGCACTGGGCCAGATGTGGTCCAAAGGATACCCGAGCTGTGGTCCCGCCCCAGGGGAAGCGAACAGTCTCAGCATAGGGCCAGAGACTCGGTGGGGAAGGAAGAAAGGAGAGAGAAAGGAGATGGAGGGAAGGAAGGAAAAGGGGAGGGAACGGAATGAGTAATGCAATTAACCTCTGCTGTCCAGTGCCCGCAGCCATGCGGCCTGGTCCAGAAGCCCTCCACACCCACTGCTGCCTGATCCCAAAGCGCCCCCGGGCGAGCAGGGCGGGCAAACCTTGGAAAGCGCCCTCTCCACACCCAGAGCTGGGGTTTAGCTAGCGAATGTGGGGGACTGGGTGACTAGGGCTGGGGCTGGGGAGAGCCCCACGGGGAGGTGCCCAGCGAGGTCAGGAAAGGCCAGCGTTCGCTAAAGGGTTAGAGATGGGCTCCAGACTGACTGCAGCCGGGGTCACGGCTGGCCCCTCCCCCGCCTCTTGCAGCTCCGGAACCCCTCCCCCTCGGCCGACCCCCAGGTTAGGGAGCGTCCGCACTTCTCCTCCCGTCGGTCAGGCCGGCTCTCGGTCGTTTGTATCGGTTCAACTCATTGGGCAGATTCGATGTACGCCCCCCCCCAGCGCCCCAAGCCAGCCAATTGCAACGGGTTTCACAGGACTCCGTATTCGGGGGATCGTCACCGTGCTGCGACGCTTCTGGGGATCCTTAGGCCTCGGTGGCCTTTGGCCCCCAACCCTGAGCCTTAACCCTAAGGAGACCAATGGGACCCGTGCCCGCAGAGGTGCCTGCGGAGCATCCGGGGAGCCCTTGGAGATCTTGGCCTCCTTCTTCCCTCGCTGCTTGCCGGCGTGTCCTCGAGTGGACGCTCGCATCGCAAAGGGGATATTGCAGACGCTCCCTCACAGCTGAAACACGGCTCCTTTAAGGGCGCAGGTGTCCAGGATGCCGCCTGACTGGAAAACCGCCCCTGGGCCGGGCTCCCGAGGCGAGCCAGGGTCACGGGCGCGCGGCAGAGGGGTGCTGGCAGCACGCAGCGTGAGGCGGCGAGGGCTGCTCAGGACGCGGAGAAGTAGCGGCGACGCGCGGTATAGGCGCGCGGCGGACAGCTCTCACAGGCCCCGCCCCGCGCCCCGCCCGCGCCGGGGTCCTCTGAGCGCTCGGGCTGCGCGCGGAGCGGGCTCGGGAGGGAAGTCCCGAGACAAAGGAAGCGCCGCGCCGCGTCCGTCGCCGCCGCCTAGTCCACCTCGCTCGCCGGGCCTCGACCGCCCTAGGTGAGCGCGGGTGGGGGGCGCACAGGGTGCGGCGGCGGGGCAGGGGCCGGGGCTCCGCAGCACGGGGCCTCCGCCGCCGTCGAGCCGGGCCGGGCGGGCGCTTCTCGACCGGCGATCCCCTGGGCCCCGACCCCCGCCTCTTGGGAGACCCCCAACCCGATCCCGATCTCGCGCTCCGGGAACTGTCCTCCTCGGAGCTGTTTACGCCACGGACTACAGTCCGACCCTGCTGGCCCAGCCTAGACGTCGTCCTGGCCTTGCCCCTTGGGCTCCCGTCGCTTTCCCTCGTGAAAGTGTTGGCGTCCCCTCCGGCGTGCGCTGGCGGTGCGGCCGAGGAGGGGTTGACAGGAGCTTCCCTTCACCGAGGAACGTGCGTTTCCGGGGTCACGGGTCCGCACACAAACCTGTGGCGCTCTCCAGCCAGCCAGAGAGGCCCAGCAGAGAGAGTAAAAGTCTTGGACTGCAAAATTGCTGGCTCGATCGGGGCGGGGGAGGGGGTTGATGTCTAAAATTCAAAACAAGTCTGAGTTTTCTTGTACCTGTAGAGAGCTCCACTTGCCGTTTGTGGGAACCTGAACGTCAGCGCTTCGCCAGAGGGAGAGTTTTCTTTTGTTTTTAAGATTGCTTTGTATTAATTGAAGGGAGGTTGGAACTGGTATTTTTGTGAGAAGAAAAGGAAGGGAGTGATTAGATGGGTTAGGATCATGGCCTGCAGTCACTCCTAAATCACAGTTTTAACTGGTGTGGTTTGTATATTTTGAAACCATGCTTAGTTCCTGGGTTTGCAAAGTTACTATACTGTACTTGCTAAGTTGGCTCTTTGTTTCCTTTGAAAGAATACAGCGCTAAGTGTTTCTAGCTATTAAGGAATTGTTACCTTTAGGTAGAGAAACTATGCAATAGACAACGGAGATGGATACTAGTTTGTCCTGACTTGCTTGTGACCTTTTGAGTGGTTTAGGGGTTAATTCTGCATACTGTTGTGTCTTTGGTGAGTCTTGGGATTTGGGTCCTGCTTCAGAAACAGCCTCCTGCCCAGGGAGGTGTGTCGAGAAAGAATGGGAAGTGTGGCTTGGGCAGAGGGTGTCCTTGATGCAGGGTGCTTGGATCAAGCAAAGTGAATACCTTCCCTCTGAGGGAGTTTGTGTTTGGTGGGAAAAGACCATCCAGGGCATCTCATCCACTATTTGTTTATCCTGGGCAAGTGTATGGGGTCAGAGTACCATCGCCCATTTTATAGATGAGGAAGTTGAGGTTGGGGGAGATGAACAGCTTGCCACATTCACAAAGCCGGTAAGAGCTCTGAAGTCTCTGCTGTCAACCAGCAGAGCTGATCTGAGAGGAGTGAGTTCAAGTACAGCCCACTACTGGGGGAGCCCTGGAGGAAAGTGGAGGGCAGACCTCCCCACATATCCTGGAGAACCCAGCCTTTGTCCTGCAAGTTGCCTCAGGTAGTTCATGGATATTTTTTCTTTACATCTACAGCTCTGCTGCTCAGAAGCATCTAGTAACACTATGCTCCTGAAGTGCTTCTCTGTTGGGAGGGAGGCAGAGTCTATTTTAAGTGGGATTCGGAATGGGTATTTCTGTTTCGTAATTAAAATGTTAATAAATTGGCTGCTTTCCCCTGGACCCCGAAAGGCCACTAGAAGTAGAAGTACCATCTTGAATACCAGACATCTGCCTGAGACAGTGCAGGTGAGCACCTGTAGCTCTTTGCCCTGATGGCAGAAAGGTCTTATTGGTGCCTGGTCTCACCCATTGGCACCCCTGAGGAGGGGGCTGCAGGAGGTCCTGTCTGACCCCTTGTTAGCCTTTCATACCTGGGACAACCCACAGCTAGGTGCTAGGATAGGGCCTCCATGGGCACCTTTGTTCCGTATTCAGAAGAGCAGGGTCCTGGCATAGGATCAGCAGTTAGGCAAACTGCACTTGGGATCACCCTGCTACCCTCCCCTGAGTCCTGGCCTGGGCCAGGCCCAGCCCCTCTGGAGTCCTCTGAGCATTGTGTCACCCCACATGGTACCCATGTCTCCTCAGTGTTCCGGAGCTGGCCTGGGGCTTCAGAAACCTGTTTTGATGCCTACCTAGCTGAGACCCACTAGGGACCTTACACCTCACTGAAACAACCATTTATTGGGTTGCTTGTCTTCAGTTACTGAACTTCTGTGTTAGTTAATTCAGCAGAGGCATCCTATCAGCCTGTGCTGTCTGCTTCGCCCCGGCCAGTCATGAGGGACCTACCTTCTGCGGGTCCAGTGGGTGGGGACAGTGCACTGGAAGCTGACATGTGTGGTGCCCTTAAGCCTGGAAATGGGGTCGGGAGGGCATTGCCGCTGGGATGGGGATAGCATTGGGTCTTGCCATTTAGAAGAACTAATTGAAGTTAAGGGTTTGAGAAACTTAGAAATTAAGAATTTTCAGACATTGGGGCTACCACCCCAGCCATCACTGTCACAGCCCACTTTGAGCTGAAGCTGGCTGGTGTGTGCCTCTGGTCCACACCCCTTTGGGCTCTCCCTTCCCTCGTGCATGCCCACCCTTTCCATGCCTCTGGCCCACAGGCCCTCCTGTTCCTGAACCATGGCCCTGGAACAATATCCTGCCAGATTGCTACAGGCTGTGCTCTGTGGCCACCTGGCCACTGTTTAAAAGCAGGTGCCTCTCCTCCCCATAATCCTGCTTTGCATATCCTGGCACCTAGCTTCCCAGGACAGGACTTCCTCACCTGTGAGCCCCCCAGGACAGTGTCCTGGCAGGCTCTTTATGAGTGTCTCAGTGGGGAGGGTCAGACCCCCCCCTCACCCCAAGGAATGGGCAGGCCAGAGCTCTGGGCTTTGTGGTGGTGATAAGAAGTTCTGTTGGGTCCAAGTCTGGTGTCACTCTATTTTGGACTTAATCTTGAGGTCAGAAACGGTTGAAAGGTGCTCTGTGACGTCAGAGTGCTGGGGCTAGGGACCACAGCCAGAATGGGTACATCTGTTACCTGTGTCCCCGACATCGTGCTTCTTGACTGGAGGGCTTTGAGTTTTGACCCTCCCTCTCTCTTTCTTTCTTTTTAAGATTTTATTTATTTTTTAGAGGGGGGAAGGGAGGGAGAATAAGAGGGAAAGAAATATAAACATCAATGTGAAAGAGAAACATCAATCAGTTTGTGGCCTCTCGCATGTGCCCCAACTAGGGGCCGAACCTGCGACCCAGGCATGTGCCCTGGCCAGCAATTGAACCAACAACCTTTTTTTGTTGTTGTTGTTTTGCTGGATCATGCCCAACCAACTGAGCCATACCAGATAGGGCTGACCCTCACTTTTCTTGTAATGACATAAGCATACCTGTGTTTTGCTAACGTACAACGTCTAGTGGGTCTGGTGGTTTACAGGATCTCGCCCAGTGTCCTGAGACCTGGACTCTGGGTGGTGCTGGGTGCCACTGTGTTTCTGCAGTGGCGGTCCCAAACCCCGCCTTCTTCTTTGCCTGCTCTTTGGAAAAACAGTTGTCAGGAGCACTGGAGCCCACCCAGAGTTCCTGGATCCATGGGATGGGGGGGTATCTGGGATGTGTATTTGACGTCTGCTGTCGAATAGTTGCTGACGTCTGCTGCCTGACCTAACCCCTCCCGCACAGATAGTGTGAGCCTGAGGGGACAGGGCAGGGCAGGGCAGTCAAGTGGTGGGGAGCTGGGGTGAGGGGTGCGGTTTGGGTCGCTGAGGCAGTTGTGGGTCAGCTGGAGCGGAGATGGGATGGGGAGGCTGAAGTACTAGTTACAGGGCTCGGTGGTGCTGCAGCAGGAGGGAGAGCGGCTCTGCCACCCACCCACGGGGCATCTGAGGGAGTCAGAAGACTACCTGGGTTTGGGTTGAGTCTCCACCCTTAGCGGACAAGATACTCCGGATCTCCCTTCCTGTCTCTAGTACAGGCCTGGTGGAGGCTGGGGCAGTGGGCAGGACTGGGCTGGAAAGCATGACTGCTGGTAAGCGTTGTCCTTGCTGGAAGTGTGTTTTGCCATACGTGGTTGAGAACCATTTTGTAGTTGTCTCGGACACCGCACATTGTGCTCGGGAACTTGAGGTGCTAGACCTTTTTCCTACAGAGGCAGGGAGGAGACCTGTCCCCTGGCTTCAGCATAAACCTGAAGTCTTAGAGAAGACTTCACCATTGGTCACCAATTGTCTTGTTAAAGCCTTGTTTATGGTAAATGCTTGATTCAGGGTCTCTTCAGTGTTTCCGTGGACTTCAAAAGCCAACAAACACACTTAAGGTCAAATTCGCCAACAGGTTTTGTGACCATGTCACCTCCGCATCTGCTTTCTCGTGGATAGCTGGAGCCGGGGTTATAATCCAGTGCCTTGCGGTTCGGTCTGGTGTGCCAGGCGCCTGCAGGTGCTGCTTTGCCTGAGGGCTCTGGGCTGCTCATACGAACAGCTCAAGGCTAGCTGAGCTTTGAGCATCTGTGTTCTTGGCCTGCCGAGGTCTTCCTGCTCCTGCCTGCCTGGCGTTCTTGGGGATTTCTTGGGCGCTGCTCGCCTGCTCCCCTTTTATTGACTTTCCCGAGTAAATGGGAGATAGGCCTTGATCGATTAGTCTTCATGGACTGCCAGGGTGGGGCTGTAGGAAGAGAAGGGGTGGAGAGACAGGAAGGAGCCTGGGATCCTGGTGGCAAGTGGGTTTTTTGGGTCCAAGGGTCCAGGAATCCTGACCCTGGACTTGTCCACAATGCAGTTGAGCGGCCCTTCGCCCTGGAGCACTTTTTCACTTAGTGGCCCTCAACCGTCATTGTCCTGGCTAGGCCGGAGTCTGAATTCCAAGCCCTGATTCTAAGCTGGGGGTCTGACAGCACCCCCACATTCCTGCGCCAGTAAAGGGAAGCCGTTTATCCCTGCCCTCCCCTGGTCTCAGGCTGGTGCTCTGGATGTCCCCATCTTGTCCTGCCTTTTTTGTGTAGTCTGGTGGTAGGACCAGACCCCTGTCACTCCAGCCTGCTGCTGGGCGTGACTGAAGGGGGCAGAACAGGGGCCAGGCATCTGCTGGGAGTGCACAGTGTCCCTCCCTGTGTAGCACCTAGCAGTGCTGTGACCTGGCTCTGCAGCTTCACCTCTCTGAACTCCGCAGCACCATAAAGTGGAGGCTGGGGTCTCCCAAGGGGGCCTGATACCTGTCCAGACTCTGGGCAGGGCAGCTAAGAGCAAGTGTGGGTCTCTAAGCCACTTGAGACCCTCAACTTACCTGCTTCTTGGAACCGAGTCTGCTCACTGGGCAGGAGTGAAAGGGAAGGGCCAGAAGGAGCTGAGTCTTCCTCCTGACTGCATCTCTGCTGTCTCTTTCAGGACTTTGACTATGTCGGGGATCGCCCTCAGCAGACTTGCCCAGGAGAGAAAAGCTTGGAGAAAAGACCACCCATTTGTAAGACAGCTTTATTTCTTTATGTAGCACAGTGGGTCATCCCCCGTGGTGACACTGCTCAGTCTCTGCAAACAGACAGGGCCCTGTCGCGAGCCCTGTGCCGCCAGGTGGTGGGAGGCGCAGGGCAGTTCCTTGGAGCAGCTGACAGGAGCTGCCACGGCTCTAATGTGCTTGTGTGTGCCTTCCTCTCAGGGGTTTGTGGCTGTCCCAACAAAAAATCCCGACGGCACGATGAACCTCATGAACTGGGAATGCGCCATTCCAGGAAAGAAAGGGGTAAGAGCACCTGTGCTCGTGCGAGGGGCAGCCTGCTGGGAATGTTCCAACCCTTCAGAAGGACTTAGGGTCAAGTGTGCATGACATGTGATGATCACACAGGCCAGGGGACATGAGATGGTGAGACGAGGGTAGGGCAACATGGAACGCCACTCCTCCCCAGATAGTTTCCATTCTGAAAGAAAGAGCTGGGTTGCAGCAGGGGTCGTGGGCCCAAACCCTGCTGCCTCCTTGGGAGTGAAGGGAGTCTTGGAGACAGGGTGGAGAAGGGGCCAGGGGTGCCCCAAGGGCCTCCGGGTTTGTCCTTCTGGGTGTGGCATGGCTGGAGCAGCCCAGACCCAGCAGTGCTCCTCCTGGGTGTCTGAGTCTGGAATGGTGCAAACCCCTGATGCACGGACCTGGCACTGACCACCTGTGATGGCCACATCGGGCCCCACGTGTCCTTCATACATCCCCACGGTCCCCCCAATGTAGGGCTGCGTTGGCTCCTCTGAGTGGGCTGGACCAGTTAGAACCAGTTCATTTGAGGCATTAGGGACTGAGGGCCTCCAGTAACCCAGTGTACAGTTCTTCCTGGTGACTTCAAGGAAAGGAGACCCTGAAGTGTTCAGGTAGTGTTGAGAACTCATCATGTCCACTTCCTCCAACCCATGGTCTCTTGTGAGAATCTACTGTGCTCAGCCTTAGCGCTTCCTAATGATCTCCTTCCCCTGAACTGAGCTGGCAGGATTAAGACTTAGCTCACAAGACAATGCGGTCTGGTTGTGCCCTGTGTCTGAGACTCTGGAGAGCCCAGCATGCATCTCAGCCTCCATTGAGGCCCTCATCTTTGGGTGAGGCCAGTGGGCTGTAGCTGTCGCCCTCCCGGTCAGGAAGGAGTGTTGGACTAAGGAGCTGGGAGGGGGTCCACACTTGAGCTCACTTAAAGTCTTCACCATAGCCACTCAGGTGCAGACCCTGACCCCCATCCTGAGGTTGGAGGGCACAACTGCCATGAGCCACCTGTCTGCTCCTCTCCAGGAAGGATTCTTTCCCACTGGCCCTCAGGACGCATGGAGGTCCTGCCAGTCGTGTTGTGGGGACACTGGGCTGCGGGTGGGTCACTGGGGCCCGTGGGAGGCTGTGTAGCAGCAGCATACCCCTCCTCCTCCTGGGCTTCTGCAGCAGAAGATAGCACACCCCTAATCACAGCTTTGCTTCCCAACAGACCCCTTGGGAAGGAGGCTTGTTTAAACTACGGATGCTCTTCAAAGACGACTATCCATCCTCACCTCCAAAATGTAAGTACAATGGAGTCCTCAAAGGTTGGTTTTGACCACGCTCCAGCAGAGATCTGAGTCCCCTTCAGAGAACCTGACCTTCAGGGGCGTTGGCTACTTCACATGCTGCTCTGCTCGGGGCGGCCTGGCTCCCTGAACCCTGTGGCTGCGGTTGACTGTGGATCTGACTTTTCTCACCCCGGGGTGGGGCGTATACCTAACAGGCCAAGTCTCAGGTCTCAGCTCCATGACTGGGAAGTTACTCGGTCCTAGAGGGAAGGATCATAAGATCCAGGTGAGGCTCCTGAACCCTTAGTGCCTGTCAGGGATGAAGCCACCACGTACCAGTTCTGGATGGGGATGGACATGCAGAAGTACCACCATTCAGAGAACCTCACTCCCCGGAGGGTTTGTTTGCCCTGACCTATTGTCTGTCAGAGTTCCGCAGCTGACTCGTGCCCGCATCTGCAGCCTGGACGCATAGCACAGTAAAGCCTGCAGCGAAGGAGGCAGGAAGACGAGGCCAAGGCTGCATGTAAAACAGTTCCACAGCTGCACCATCATCATGCAGCTTAGCAAGACTCGGGGCAGGGAGATGGGCCACCGAATCTCTCCTCTGGTAGCTGGAGGTCAAGAAATACTGTCCACGCCTGGTTAATTAAATGAGTTGACATGGGCCCCAGAGTGTGGGAGGGTGCCCGGCACGTGGGAGGGCAAGACTGGACGTGACGGCCAGCTCGTGTGGTCAGTGACCTGAGAGGCAGAAGTATGTTTTCTGTTATAATGACATCCACCAGAGGAATTACTTAAATTATCAAGTCACAGTGTCACCCTTGGGGTGGAGATATTTCATCGGGGTGGTTCTACACTGTGTGGTTTTTTGTTTTGCTTTTGTTTTGCCACGTCTTATTACTTTAAATAAGATATGAGGTAAATTGTAGTTGCCTTCATCACTTCTCTTTAACATTGTATTGGAATTCCAAGCAAATGTAGCAAGGCAGGAAAAGGAAATCCCAGCAGATAAATGAGAAAGGAAGGCGTAGATCATAGACCATCTTTAAGTTTATTAAGACTGCTGAATAAAAGGTTAATAGGGAGCGACCCCTCCTTAAAAAAATGTAATTATCTTCTGGAAGGTGGGACCCTTACTGTAGTACAGGCTTCCCCCACTAGGTGAGTGTTCTAGGAACCCATCTGTATCAGTGCACCAGCTGGCATTGTTGTGAGAGGCTGCATTCAGCTTCAGTGGATGTTTTTTGAAAACTGTTTCAGTGCGTTTGTCCATTTCATGATGGTGATTTACAGCACGTGTGGCCACACCGCACTGAGTGTTTAGAAGTTTCTGACCAGCTAAGGCATGACCCCTATGCCCCTCCCTCCTTGTTCACCCGATTTTGCCTTAAGCACCTTTTTTTGTTTCCTGAATGAAAAAAAGCCCTCAAAGGAAAACATTTCACTTATGTGGAAGTGGTGAAACAAAAAAACAGCAGAAGCACTAAAAGGCATCAAAATCAACGAGTTCAAAAACTGTTCTGAGCAGTGGGAAAAGTCTCAATAGGTATATTGCATCAAATAGGGAGTACTTTGAAGGTGACTGAAGTTTAAACATAAGAATAAAAACACAATTTTTTAGAAATAATTTCCTGGGTTTTTTGGGTCCGCACTCATATATAAAAACCCATTTCATACAGTTGTAACAAATAAAAGTTTTAATACTATACCCTTTATAGTAGTATCAGGTACCTTGGAATAAATTCCAACAAAAGATGTCTGAGACCTCTGTACTGAGAACTAAAATGTTTCTGAGAGAATGAGGGGCAGCCTGAGTGACGGGCTGGATGGGCTATGTTTGTGGATTGGGACATACCGTTAGAAAAACGTCAGTTCTCTCCCAGCTGAGCTGCAGGTTCAGCGTAATCGCAGTCAGAATCCAAGCAGGTTTCTGTGAGAATTGTCACGCAGTCTCTAAAATGCAGGAAATGCAGAGTGCTGAGAATTGCTGTGGCCCTTGGGGTCTTAGAAAGGGAGGGTGGTGAGGCCCAGGTTGGGGCTCCTTGAGTAAAAAGTACCCAGACCTGTTAGCAGGATGGCCAAGACGTGAACCAGACTGAGATCTGCTGCAGAGACACAGTAACCGAGACACAGAGCGAAGAGGCCAGATAAACCAGGGGCACAGCGGCATGGTGTATGACAGAGGTGACACTGAAGGTCATGGGGGGAGGGTGGCCTTCTGATGTGTGAACTGAGACAACCAAGTGTCCCAGTGGGGGAATAGAGAATTCAGTCTCCCTTCTGACATAGAGGCCTTCCAGATGGATTGCGATGGCAGTGGGAAGACAAGTGAGACGGTACAGCCTTTAGAGGAAGATGGGAGGGTGCCTTCATGACTTGGGTAGGCAAAGCTTTCTTAACCAGGGTAGCATGAAAAGTGCTTTTCTCCAGAGGGGAAAAAGGATCAGTTGGATTACACTGAAGTTAAGGCCATCTTGTCACCAAACGGCACCACTGAGAGTGAAAAGGTAAGATTGTATACATACATCAGTACTTATCCTGAATATGTCAAGAGCATCTACAAATCAATAAGAAAAAGGCAAACAACCATTCAATGGAATAGGCCCTTTGCAAGAGGTTCTCCACCTGGCCAGTTGGCATAGAAGAGCTGCCTAACTTCTTTACTAGAGAGTTACAAGTTACAACCACAGAGGGCACAGGCAGATAACTGAGGCAGGAGAGACTGCGGAGCAGCCAGTGCCCTCAGGTGCAGGCTAGGGAAAAAGTAAGTTTTGAATATTTCCTTGGAAAAGCTGTCTGCTATTTCTACTGAAGCTGAACTTACCCCCTGCCTAAGAACCCAGCTGTTCCACTCGAGTAAAGATTCAGCAGAGGTGCATACACACGTTCACAAAAGGCACAGACAAGCGTATTTATGACAGCCCTGTCTGCAAGAGCCAGAAGTGGGAGACACTGCAGGAGGGGAGAAGGTACAAGTACAGCGCATGAGTGAATCTCCCAAAACATACTGTCAGGTGGATGGAGCCAGACACAGAGTCGTCAGTGCTGGAGGCCTTCTGTGAAGTCAGCAACAGGCCGTGCGGTGGGTGACATGAGAGGCCAGGAGTGACTGTGTGGGAAGACAGCCAGGCGGACCAGAGAGGAGGGCTGGGGAGCTTGGGTATGTTGGTATTCGTCATTGGTGCACTTTTCTAAGAAACAAGATTTATAAATCAGATTAAATTAAAATTAGGAACTTGGGTTCACAGAAAAGTACAATTAATAGAGCAAAAAGGCAAACTTGGAGTAGGAGGAGATACTTGCAAGACATGTAGTTAACAAAAGCTCTGTCCAGAATACGTAAAGAGCTCCTACAAATCAGCGAGACAACCCGGGTAGAAAAATGTGCAAAAGACTTGAACAAGAACTTCTCCAAAGAAGTAGCCACTTCATCCCAATGAATGAAGAGTGCTCACCCCCGGTGGTCACCAGGGAAATGCAGCTTAGAGCCCTGAGAAGCAACCGCAGTTCATCTAACAGCCAACGTCCAGAGCTGACACACAGGTGTTGACGAAGCTAGGAAGCAGTGGGATGTTAGTGGGTAGAGCCGCTTTGGAAACTGGCGGTATCTGTCTGCATTCAGCACAGACACCTCGTGGTACAGCATTTCCACGGGGGGGTGCACATGTGTGCACCGGAACTCACTTCCAAGAACAGTTGGCGCTCTATTCGAATTCGTTCCGGTGTGCACCTGCAGTGCAGTGGGCAAGTCCGTGGGGGCAGCTGGGCCCCATGGGTGTTGTGCAGGAGTGAGTAAGGGCTATTACCTATGAGGACATGGCCCACACGTGCCGAGTGGGTCCGCATGCAGACAGCTCGAGACATCTTCCCTTGGGGGTTGTAGTTTGGGTTAGTGGGGCAAATGGAGTGGGTATGAAGGAGTTTCCCAGGAAGCTGTTGATAGATGTATTCATTTTTTGGTAATTTATCGCACTTTTCTAGATGTAATTCATGTTTAAAAAATAGAAAAGGAAAAAGGACCCAGAAGAAAAGATAAATAATATGCTAGAATGTCAGCTATGGTTAGCAATCCCTGAGTGGGGCTGCTTTTTTCTGCCCTTTTACATTTTCATATTTTTTACATGTATTGACTTTTTCTAAAAAACTTTTTTTTTTTTAAGATTTATTTATTTTCAGAGAGGGAAGGGAGGGAGAAAGAGAGGAACATCAATGTGCAGTTGCTGGGCGCCGTGGCCTGCAGCCCAGGCATGTGCCCTGACTGGGAATCGAACCTGCGATGCTTTGGTTCGCAGCCTGCATTCAGTCCACTAAGCTATGCCAGCTAGGGCAAGAAAAACTTTTTTTAAAGAAAAAATATGGGATCCTAAAAGCCTTTATTTTTGAAGCAAAATGAGCTACTTTGAAGACAGCCAACTCGTGTGGAAGGACCTCGGCGGCTTCCACAGCAGCCCTTCCCATCCTCCCAAGTCCGGACTGGCCGGGAGGGGCCTGGGCAGGCCTCCTGGGGCCTTCTCTGGCTGCCCACTGTCCTGAAGCAAGGGGCGGGGGGCAGGCTCTGCCTCTGAAGGCACCCTTGCTCCTCTCCTACCTCCTCCTCCCTCGTGGCCAGTTTTTTGTAAACAGTTCTTTGGGAAATGCCTGGTGACCGGCAAGATGTCTCAGTACAGGGGAAACGGGGATGTCATCAGGACAAGACATGATTTTGTAGGACAACTGCCACCAAAACATGTTCCCTTCCGTGTGGCCCAGGCAAATTTGAACCACCGTTGTTTCACCCGAACGTGTACCCTTCCGGCACCGTGTGCCTGTCCATCCTCGAGGAAGACAAGGACTGGAGGCCAGCCATCACGATTAAGCAGGTACGCAGCACGATGGCTTCACCTTGCCCTTCCTCAGGACCAGGGTTTGCCTTATGAACTACTGACCCTCCACCTTGCTTTGTTTTTCTCTCACACAGATCTTGTTAGGAATACAGGAACTTCTAAATGAACCAAATATCCAAGATCCAGCTCAAGCAGAGGCCTACACAATTTACTGGTCAGTAGCTCTCTGGCTGCACTTGCTGTTACTGCTCATCAGCCTGTACAGCTTCCCTGGGAGTCCAGTCCGGGCTACCAGTAGGAAGCTGTGAGTGGGTGGGCAGTCCTGATGCTCCTGCCAGCCTAGACCCAAGCTCACGTGGTGGCAGCAGGGGTCGCTGCCACAAAGAGGAGACTGAGGTGGCCATGGAGGCACCTGGGGAGGAGCTGCACGTGCAAAGGGCCTGTGGTGGCAACAATGGGCAGCCGGGGCTGGTGTGGCCAGAGCAGTGTTGGCAGGGCATGGCAGGAGGCAGGGTCAGGTGACAGGGGCTCCCGTGGACTGCTCTGTCCCTGATGGGCTATGGCCAGGCAAACCCTGTGCCTCCAGGAGCCCAGTCCAACTCAGAGGGAAGGGTGTGAACCCTGGAAGAAGAGACCCCAGACCTCCCACCTCTCCCCTCTTTGGGCCCAGCCTGGGTGTAGCAGCTCGAGGGACGTGCTCCACTAGGGAAGTGTCTCTCTTGGGTTGCTTTTTGGTCCCCCAGATACTGTGACATCCCCAGCTGGGTGCTGTGGGAAGACAGCCTGCTGTGACTTTGTGTGGGTGGCAGAGCTAAACCTGGCACATGGGGCTGTGTTGGGTGGACAGTGGGGAGGACCCTGGCCTTCCTGGCCAGCCCCCCAGACTGTTCTGGACAGGGTGTTGTTACTCTGGGCTGTGGCTCTGACCCCTACTGCTCCACCTGCCCATGTTCAGACACCTGGAGCCCAAGGGGCTGACCCACAGGGAGAGGCCAGGCAGGGACTTGTTCCTTCCAAGGGGACCTTTCTGGAATTGCAGTAAGTCGTAGGTAGGCCTCTCTGAGCAACACAGGTGATGTGAGTCCATCTAAGAGAAGCACCCCATTGCAAGAGATGCATTTCTTCCCCCCAAAATGACTTCCAGTTCCTGTGTCCAACGCAGTTGTTGGCCAGGAGTGCCCTCTGGTGGCTTAGAGTGACATGCTACTGGGTAGGGGCCGAGGTCCACCTTCTCCCAGCTCCTGGGCTGGCTGGCCCTGCTTCAGACTTTAGTCCTGTCTTCTCTGCGAGGCTCCCAGCCCAAGGAATTGCTCTGAGTGATTCCAGCAGAGCTTAGCCTGAGGTGACTCGCATCTCGGTGACTGCTGTGCATCAGCGGCTCTGGGAGAGGAGTCCTCATACCTGAACCCTTGAGCTGAATGCTGTTAATTTTTACTGTGGCTTCTGCCGGCATTAGGCCCTGTCAGCCTGCGCCTCTTTGTAAATAGGGCTTCTTGGGTCCTTGCTGTTGGAGCCAAACCGCTGTGATAGATAGGCCACTTGGCCCACAAAGCCAAAATGTCTTCTTGCTGGTCTTCAGAGAGCTCTCCAGTCCTGGAGTGTGTTGTGGCAGGTGCATTGCCTTGGGTGAATGGTCTGTGTTGATGCTGTGCCCACAGCCCGCGGCGCCATCTGCCATAGTGCTCACCATGTGGTTGTAGAGCTGCAGCGTGCACAGCAGGGGTTCTCGGGGCCACCGCTATGTGCCTAAGCATGGTCCTGGTTGTGTGCTTCGGGTTCCTTACGTGCCAGGCAATGCTGTGCACTACTCCATAGGAATGAGACACTATTTCTCCAGTGGGCAACTAGTTTACAAGCACCTCTCTCTTCAGGTCTCTTTTCTCATGCTTTTGGAAGGGTGTGTCCTGCTCTAGCAGGTGCTCTCTAATGCATACAGCCTGTGCCTGGACTCACTTGGTAAATGGCAGGGCTGGACTAAGCTGCCCCTGCTTTCACTTCCAGCTCCTTCCAGGGTTCTTCTAGCTAGCCGCCTCCACCCTGGGGATCTGGGCCCTTGGCCAGGGTGGCAGCACAGCCTAGCCATAGAAGTTTGTCCTCTGGCCTTCATTCTTGGGCCTCACCTGGGCATGGTGCTGACACTGCTGTCTGCCTGGGTGCCGTGCCAGCGCAGGGCAGGCTCTAGGCAGGTTTCCACTGCCCCTGGTGCTGGCATTGCAGTCTTTCTCCAGAGAGACCAGCGAGGTCGGCCTGAGGCATCAGAGTCTGTTTTCTGCACTAGGCAGAGCCGAGGGAAGTTTTTGTGGTGGCCCCTCTGTCCTTCAACCCTGGGGCCTGCGTGCAGGCCAGGGCCAGTGCTCTGGGAGGCCTCACTTGTTGAGAGCACAGCCTTGAAGGAGGCTTGGCGCTCTTACTGGGGTGTGAGTGCCCCTAAGTGCACACTCACCTGCGCTCTGAGGAAGGCTCCTGACCAGCCCGCGAGGTGTTTGGCAGCTGTGTCCTGGTGTGTTGAGGAGTCCTGTTCATAAACATCATCGTGGACCCGCAGACCTCGAGGTCACAGCGATCCCTGGGTGCAGCTGGTCTTCTCTTTGGTGGCAAGTCTGCTGCCCCCCACCCTGCTGTCACCTGGCCTGGGCAGTGCCTGCCAGCCCCCTCTCCTTGTAGCACACCTCATGCTGGAGTCCCAGTCGAGGTCCCCCCAGCCCATCAGAAAGTTGCCCCCACCTCCATACCCTCCCACTCAGGACCGAGAGCCCCCCAGGAGAGCCCACCAGATGTCTTGTCTATTCTCCAAGTCTCCGAGAGCAGTCCACTTTTTCTCTCCGAAATGACTCATGCTGTTTCAAACAAGAGAGAGAAAGCTGCTGGTCACTGGTTAGACCTGCGAGAGCCTCTGGCCCAGGCCGTTCTAATGTCTCTCTCTCTTGACCTCCTCAGCCAAAACAGAGTGGAATATGAGAAAAGGGTTCGAGCACAAGCCAAGAAGTTTGCACCCTCATAAGCAGCGACCTGCGGCAACATCAAAAGGAAGGGATTGGTTTGGCAAGAACTTGTTTACAACGTTCGCAGATCTAGCATTGCTCTATACAATTACTAGTCACCTAGGGGAGGCAGGCGGGCGCCATTTTCCATTTCCGCCGCTGGTACACAGTTCTCCACTCGCTGAATTGCCCAGTTTTTCATACAGGGTCTCTTCCTTCAGTCTTTTGTATTTTTGATTGTTATGTAAAACTTGCTTTTATTTTAATATTGATGTCAGTATTTCAACTGCTGTAAAATTATAAACTTTTATACTTCTACGAGTCCCTGAGGAGCTAGTTCCCTTCGCTCGTGGGTGCAGGCATGCTTCCCACTGTCCGAGCTACACGTAGCCTCCAGCTGGCTGTACGAAAAAGAAACCGGCCTGTCCCCTGCCCGTGCGCCTCTGTCCTCTCTCCGCAGAACCCGGGTGTGTTGCTGTGGGCCTCCGATCCAAAGCCAGCCGGCCTCTCATTTCCGCACCACTTCCTTTGTGTTTATATGGCGTTTTGTCTGTGTTGCTGTTTAGAGTAAATAAACTGTTTATATAAAGGTTTTTGTTGCATTATCGTCATTAAAAGTGTGAGGAGGCAGCCTTGGGGTGTGTGCCCCCCACACACACAGCTGTAGGCCCCGCAGAGCCCTGGCCTCTGCCCCAGCACGTCTTGCTGCCTGTGCCTGAGTCCTACGTGGCACTCGCTGGGTCCTTTGTAAATAGCACTGTGTGCGGACGGCATGTGTGCAGGGCTTCTCTGCGCCCCGCCTGGGTCTTCGGGCTGTAGAGCGCTAGAGTTCAGGTCTGGTCAGGTTGAAATTGGTATCAAGACCCATCTTGCGTGCCTGTGTGCTGCCCTAGCCATCGGGGAGGAGATGCCCCAGGCCAGGGCAGGGCAGAGCCGGAGTGAGGACCACTCTAACCCACTCACCCTCCTCAAGGGCCTGTGCAGGGTGGCTGGGCCACAGCATGTGACCCTCTCACATCTGGCACTGTCCTCGGGCTTCTGCATGTAGCCTCCGACCCCCCCGTGCTCACCACCACAGCCCCCACCCCTGGATGCAGGTAGTGTCAGGCACAGGGACACCCCTAGGGAGCAGCTCTGAGAGCCACTGTCACATACTCTTACTGTCTCCTGGAGCGTTCTGAACCCGGTCACCCAAGGAAGCTGCTCTTCTAGAACCATGGAGCCCACATCCATGGCAGAGCTCCCTGGAGTCGGCTGTTCTGTCACAAGCAGTCCTGGGTCCTGACTCTGCAGGGAGGTGCTGTAGATGGAGACCGGAAGTGGCAGGTACCTGGCCCTGCATCCCAGTGAGCACAGTGCTGAGCGGTACAGAGGACCAGAGCCGGCCTTCTGCCAGCCAGCCTTGCCCGCCCACCCCGAGGGCCCTTGTCAGAACCAGTTGCCTGTGGCTTTAGCACATGGACTGAGGTAGGGATGGTCCCCAAAGGGGCAGGGAGCACAGGAGGGCTGGTCATCGGGAGGGTGCCTCTGTTTGCCCCTCAGTTGACAGCGCGGCCCAATGGCCCAGTGCCTTGTTCACTTGCTCGACCACACACCTGATGGGTTGCTGAGCCCTGAGCTCTCGGCCGATGTTCGTGGTTATCTAACGCAGAGGGCCTTATGCGGGGGGTTCAGTGGGTCATGTGTGTATCGCCCCTCCCAGAATGTCTTATTTTGTAATGACTGAACTACACTTAGTAATAGTTACACATGTATATGGTTAATATATATGGAAATGCAATATATTTTCTAGTTAAAGCATTCTAAAGTAATCGATGTTTCTAGCACATTGTCGTGACTTTGGCTAATGAAATGTCCTTTTGTGCCACAGTTCTTGGCTTAAAGATGTGAATCTTGTAACAGGAGAACTCTGAAATGTGATCGTTCTGTTTCTGCTGTAAGGGAAGAGAGTGTGCTCCCAGCATGAGGCACCTAATTAGTGAGGAATTGTGGGCAATAGATTAACCACTGTATCTAAAAATCCTCTAATTAAAACATTTCCACAAACTGCCGCCTGCAGGGTGAGTCCTTTCCTGCCCCGCGCCCGCACAGGCTGCCCTGCTCACTGCTGCTGTGCCCAGGGGTTCGGGCCTTCTCCACGGTCTCCAGCATCAGGCCCTCGGTGGCCCAGGGGTGGGGGGTGATGTCCCCTTGAACTGCAGCCAGAGCCCTTCTGTCCCCTCCAAGACCCTGGCATGGGCAGGCAAGGCTAGAAGGGATCCTATGCTGGCCACTGGCCTGCCGAAGCAGGGTCTTCCCACTGGGGACCTGGGGTGGTTCTTGTCACCTAGATGGGCCTCCTCAGGGACGAGGATGCCAGCCTCGCAGAACCGAGGCACATGGTCACTCGGGTGAGACCCTGATGCCCCCCGCCCCCAGGGTCACATGTCCGGGGCTGAGGGGGCTAGCCAGCCCTCAGCCTCTGTCTCCCCACAGTGGCTACTTACAGGCCCGAGTCATCTGGGTCCACTGTCCTGGCCAGACCAGTGCTGTGTCCTCACACCTGTCTGCCCTCACATCCACCTCTGTCCCTGAGCTGCTGCTGGCCCAAGGCCTTCCCACATCAGGCTCTGCCATGGGCGGCCTCCAGCGTGAGGCTGCAGTGATGAGTTGGCAGGTCGGAGCCCAGCATTGACTTGGGCTGGCTCGAAGAGGTCTGAGTCAGCTTCGGCTGGGAGGCCTGCCCTGACCACCCCTCTGCTGAACCTGGAGGTGTCCTGCTGCAGGGGCCCAGGAGGCGCCCAGAGGCTTCCAGACACTGTGACCCCATCTAGAGGCTGCGGGCCCCATGGGGCTAGAGTACCAGGGTCCCATCCACCCCGCTGTCCCCAGACCCCACAACTGGCAACAAGGAAGCAACAAAGTCACAGAGCACAGGCCCAGGTTCCTCCCTCCTGGGCTCTGCCCTTCTAGATGGCCCACCACCTCTCCTTCCAGGATGCCCTCCTAAAGAGGGGCAGGTGGAGGGGCAGCTGGTGGCATGCTCATGCCACCCCTTCCATTCCTCCAAGGAGGGAGGAATTGGACCCCCCAGAGCTAGGGACAAGGGCATCTCAGCCCTCACTTGTGCAGAGAATGATGTCTGCTCTGTGGAGGAGCCAGTTCTGGGCCCACTTGTAGCTTTGTCTCCTGATATTGTCCTGGCCCCACAAAGGGGTGAGTGCAGGAGGTGCTGTTGCTGGAGGTGGCCCCAGCACACCTGCCTCTGGGCCAAAAGCTGATGGGAAGGCCAATGAACAGGCTGCCTCTATGCCCTAGGCCTGGCACAGACTCCACCTGTGCAGGTGCTGGTAACAGGACCCCCCCACCCACCCACTGAGCTAGAGCCTATGCCCCCAGGAAGCAGCATCTAAGGCAAAGGGTCATCTGGGGCAGGCCTTCTCCCACCTGAAGCCACCTCTGCTGGCAGAACCACTCAGGATGGCGGAGGCAACGGGACAGGTTCCTGCAGTCCTCAGCAATCTCCAGCCCAGAGCAGGCAGGGAGCCTTGCCCAAGTCCCATGGCCCACCCCCTTTCCCTGCCTCTGTCCTGGACAGGCGCTAGGGTTCAGAGGATGGTGGGAGGAGCCTGACCCCCCAGAGGCTGTGCCTGCAATTCCAAAGGCTGCCACCAGAGAGTATGAGCTGGTTTGTTATCAAAACCTGTAGCTGTAGTGTGAACTCACTGAGGTGCCGTCATCTCCCGCACCATCCTTTTCCTGCTCCACATCAGCCATCAGAGTGCTTATCCACAGCGGGGCTCTTTTCTCCTGGCCGGAAAGAGGAAAAGCCAGTCCTCCCACCTGCCAGGCCCTTTCCTTCCAGAAGCCCAGAGCCCTGACCTCCTTTGGGCAGAATATCTTGTGCCCTGACACCTGCTGTGACACGTGCATGCCCCGACACTTCCCCTCGCCACCTCCACTGCTCAGGACCACTGTCGGGGTCTGGAGCAGAGGGTGACACTTCAGAGCAGGGTCTGGGGTGCAGGCAGGAAAAGTGGGGCAGCACCCTCCCTGCCCTCTCCTGGCTGTGGGATCAACAGGATCGGCTGCCACTCCCAAACTTCAGAGGTGGAAACGTTCCGCTCCCCAGGCCACTGGAGGTCAGGCCAAACAGTTTCCATCTCCGTGGAATGAAGAGCGTGCAGAGGGCACTAACCCGCTGTACTCCGTGCTGTGACTTACCTGCTTAGGTCTCCCAGCAGCACCCAGGATGGACACTGCTATTGTACAAGTAAGGGAAACTAAGGCCCAGGGCAGCAGAGGGGAGCAACGGGAAAGGGGTCCGATTGGCTCGGACAGGCCCGACTTCAGTCTCAGAACAGATGGGGAGGATGAAGGGAGCAGGCACAAACGGGGCCACCTCTCCAGTCCTTGGAGGTGTGTGTGTGGAGGGAAGCCCTGGGGATCAGCCTTTCCTAGGGAAACGGGCTCGGGCCTGAGCTTGGGACCCAGCCTGGTGCTCTGTGGCCCTATTCAAGCCCTGCTCCCTGCCTGGGCCTCAGTTTGCCTGTCTAAGGAGCATGATGAAGTCTCCAGGGGCTTTCTGCCAACAAGTTAATTAGTTTTAGGGTTACTGCCTCTGATGCCTCTGGCCTTGCCCTTGGCACCCCAGGGCATGAGTGAGTGGTGCAAGCAGCCCCTCCTAACTTCCTGTTTACAGCAGCTGCAGCCTCAGCTCTTCCAAGCCATCATAATCACCATGGCAACCAGACTGGTGTGTTTATTCCAACAGGTTGGCAGAACCTGACACAAAACTGCAGGGGTGAGGGGCACCAGCTCCACGATCCTGGCTCAAGGACTCGGCAGTCACCCAGGGAAGGACAAGCTGGGTAGTACAGGGTCCAGTCCCCCTCCCCTGCTTCCCTGACTCAGAACTTGAACCACAAGCAGTTGATGGGTATCCCGATCTGCCTGGCTGTCCTGGTTCAGAGCTTCTGGGACAAGCTAACCTGCAGTGCAGTCTCTAACCCCCCTGCAGTGCTGTAACACACACACACACACACACACACACACACTGTAGTTGGACTGGCACAGGGCGGCACGGATGCAAGTCTGCATCTGGAAGCTGAGACAGGTGGTATCCCCATCAGAGCAGAGTCCACCCCATCCTTGTGAAAGGGGAGCAGAGCGGACAGACACCCTGTAAGTGGGCAATTCACTGGAAGGTGAAGTCATGATGGATGGCGCCTCCCTGCGTGGAGCTATGCTCTGGGGCCCTGTTCCTCCAGCCTTTGGCCCTCCCTCCCCTCAGCTCACCTGACCCCTGGCTTCCCAGAGAGAAACATTGTTGTGTGTGGGCCTGAGCTGCAGAGGGCTCCAGGCTTGACTCTCTGTCTTTTGGGATGAGAGCTCCAAATCTAGGTCTGGTCCCCAAGAGCAAGGTGCTCAGAGGGTCGAGTGGGCTCAGCCAAAGGCAGGGCAGGGATGGGGACCCTGTGCACCTCAGGACAGAACCTCTGCACAGCCCCCACGCTTCTCCGAGTGCAGTCCCTGGAGGCCCAGCAGCATCTGGAGCTTTTCAGAAATGCAGACGCCCACCCAACCCAGGGTTTTAGAATCAGTGGGTTTGAGCGGCCCAGCAGTCTGTGTCAACAGGCTCTCTAGGTGACCATGGCCACACTTCAGAATGCTGCGGTGGACTCGGGAGTGGGGAGCCCAGAAAGGGACACTGAAAGTGGGCTGGGAAATGGCCAGGCTGGATCCAGCTCAGGCCCTGGGGCTCCGCAGGCTGTGTGACCGTGCGGTGGCCAGCCTGGGGTGTCGGGGCTTCATCGGGATCATGGGTACGACCACACCAGCAGCTAGTCAGCGTTGTCATGCGGCACCCTGGGCTGGTGACTGCAGCACCTGCATGAGAGGCCCCGAGTGCCGCCTCTCCCCTCTGAGAAGAGAGAGCCCTTAGGCCCAAGACGGTGAAGTCCCCGGGTTGACGCAGGTTGACTGGGAGGACGACTCAGGAGATGACTGCACAGCCCTGTCTGAGCTGTGAGCCGGTGGAGCTTGTTCGGTTTCAAGGACTCTACTAGCTTCCCTGGGGCCCTGGACAGCGGGTACTGACGCAGAGCGGAGCCTGCTCCGGGGTCTGCACCCACCTGTGCGTTGATTGACAGCCCAGTGCCCCCGAGACCCCGGGGGAGGGAACTCCCTGGCTTGGCACTGGGGACGCAAGGACCCTCGCCTTGGCACCGCTGGGTCCGGGCGTAGGGGTTCACAGGAAGAGGAGGGGGCGCTTGGGGCGGGCCACCAGCAGCGGGGGCGGGGCGAACAGACCAGGTCCCGCCCCCGCCCCCAGCTCCTGCCGCAGCCGCGGTGGGCCAGCTGCGCTCAGTAGTGGGCGAGAGAGGCTGCGAGCGAGCAGTCGCAGTCCAGAGCATCCCGGAGTCGGTGCGAGCCGGGCACCCGCAGGACCCCATCCCTGCCCGCGCCCAGCCCACGGTGAGTGCTGTGACTCTGTCCCACGCCGTCGAAGCTCAGCCGGAGCCCACCTGGACGGACTTGGGATGCCGCCCCCTTTGGCTCCTCCATGCTCATCCCCAGGGGCACTGGGAGGCCCCCACTGAGGCCCAGGGCGGTGGGAGGTCACAAAGACATGCCCCTAGCTCCGGGGAAACTGAGGCTGGTGCGTACTTGGAGGAGCGGGTCTCTGGCATTTCTACCCGCGCCCTGGGTGCCCTCCCCTAGGAACACAGAAATAGGATGGGGTCAGGGGTCGGGAGGGCTGGTCAATCTGTCACACGGGGAGGGGGGGTGAGGAAGGGGGGGCGCATTGGGGCCAAGGACCCTGGAGACGCTTTGCGGCGTTTCCCAGGCAACCCGCCAGGAGGAAGACGCCCCCAGCGCACCGTCCCTCCCACCCCTGCGTGGTCCCGTTCGACCCCAGCCTCCTTGGAATCCGTGTCAGTGAAAAACCCACCTGTCCTCTTCACCTACCCCAGGAGTCTGGGGGGGTGGTAAAAATATCCATACTCACCTGACGCTCTTCCGAACTTCCCAGACCCCCCTGCGTCCAATGGGGGAAAGACCCCTACTGAACTGGAAGGCCCCGGCTCCCATGTGGAGCACCGTCGGGAACATCAAAGCAGGGACAGGAAGGAGGGTCTCAGTAAGAGAAGTGGGGGGAGGAATGTGGCGTGGAGACAGGTGAGTAAGGACAGGTAAGAGGGGGCCTCGAAGAAGAACGAACTTTCCGGGGTTAAATCATTTTCCATGCGTTCATTCCAGAAGCATCTAGCTAGCCCTTTACAGCTGGTCTCAGGCTCCATGGAGCTGTAAGAACACCTACGAAATTGGTTAAAATTCACACTCCCAGGCCCCTTCCCAGGGAGCAGGGTTTGCAATGGGCATTGCCCTCAGGTTGTGCAAGGCAGCACTGCCTGGGAAGTCAGCAAGGCTGTGGAGGGATGGGAGCCAGAAATCAACAAAAAGGAGTGAAGGGCCAGTGGGAGCCAGTGGAGGCCAGTGGGGGCCGGGCCGGTCGGGGCCCGGCTGGGAAGACAAGACCAAGAAGAAGGCGTGGAGAACTAGCGTGTGGGGCTAGACCCCCTGCTGCGCCCCCAGCAGCATCAGTGGGCCCCCACCCCCAAGTTGCCGAGGACCTAATTTCGGTAAGAAGGGCGTCCCAGCACTCTGAAGGTGTGTGTTACCTCTGAGGGTGCCCTGCTGGCCACCAGGGACACCGGCTAGGGAGACTCATCTGGCTTTTGGGTTCAGCTCAGCTGCCCCAGACTCACCTGCCTCAGAACCATCCAAGAGGCTAGTGGGAAAGAGCCTGGCCTAGACCCCTGGGTTCGAATCCTGGCTCTGGAAGTCACCCCAGTCCTGGGCTGTGCAATGGGGACATCCATTTTGCAGTGTTGTCATTTCCCTTTCGACCTGGGCCTTGGGGACAGCCAGGGGACAAGGCCAACCTGACCATTTTGGCTTGCGGGCAGAGCCAGGCATGGCCGGCCTCCGTTTGCTCGTTGGACCGATGGGAGCTGTGATTCTGGTGTTGGTGACTGGGCACTAGCAGGGTGTGTTCTGTGTTGCTGCCCAGGCCCAGGAGGGGGCCCCAGGGGGGCCCATCACACAGAGGGAGGGCCCCTGTAGCCCTGTGCCCAGCTTGCTCCTGCCCCATGTGAGCTGAGGGGCCCTGCAGCCCACGAGAGCTTCCTGGAGGGATGGCCACAGGCCCACTGTGGATGACAGCTCGGGGTGATGTGCCGGCTGGCTCCCAGGGCCAAGGCTGTTGGATGCCATGAGGCCATCAACTGCCCAGGCAGTGCAGGATTCCCAGGGGAACCCAAGAAGTTTCTGAGCACTCGGGATGAGCCATCTGTCCCAGACACCTGTGCACAAACACCTCTGTTGCTGCTGTCTCGGCAGTGGGCTGAGGGAGTAGGGAGGCAGGCTGGCCCACTGGACCCCAGGACTCAGGACGTGCTAGGAGCTCAGTGCTTGGACACAGGAACCAGGGAAACCTGGACTCCACCTCGATCCACCTGCTGGCTTCGTGGCCTTGGGCAGTGTCCCGAGCCCGGGGCCTCAGTTTCCTCATCCCAATGAGGGGAACAGAGCACCACCCCTCTCCAGGGCTGAGCATTATCCAGTGAGCTGTTCAGTGGAAAATGCAGGGAGGCTGCTGCACCCCCATCTTGCACATTTTGTTCTCCGTCCCTGCAGCTCAGGTCACTGGGCTCCTGCATCACGTTTGTCTCTGAGATGTGGAGCCCCTGTAGCCCCTGTCACATGCAGACACAGCCACTGGCGGTTGCCCTGGCAACAGCTCAAGCAGTGGCTGCTCTCCCGGCTTCGGGGGCTGCTGTGGGAGCAGCTCCTTCCACTCAGCTAGAGAGAGGGAAGGGGCCTGTGAGGCCCAGCCCCTGGGGACCTCACAGTTGGCTGTCAGGGCCACAGCTTCTGGCAGCGTGTGCCCAAGCTGCGGAGCCCCCATCTTTGGGGCAAGGCTCCCAGCGGCAGGCACTGATAGGTTTGAAAGACGTGGGGCCGCATTTCTGGTAATTATAGGGAGACAAGCTGCTTGCCTCTCCTGTCTAGAGGTGGAGGGCCTGAGCTGGTGGGGGTATAAACTGAGAACAGCAGCCCTGGACCACCAGGAGACAAACGGACAGACACAGCTGAATCGGGGACCTGGCTTGGTCAACCAAGTCAATTTAGGCCCCACCCGGTGCTACATGTGCACTGGCCCCAGCTCTCTCAGCAGCACTTAAGAGTCCAAGGAACAGGCAGGAGATGCTTGAGAGACTGCACATATGTGGGCATGATTCCTGAGCAGTAGCCCCACCCAGGGACGATGGCCTGGGCATACAGGGCAGAAGCGGTCTCACCTGGCACTCCTGCCACTAACTGCCCATGAAGCCTGGACTAGTAGATCCATCTGGCTGAGTCCCCATTTCTTATTTTGCCGAGTAAAAATAGCAGCAGGCCCTGCCCAGGCAGATATGCCTGGCCTGGAGGCCCCCTCAATCCATGGACAAGTTCCCATCAACAAGGAAGGGGGGCCCGGGCGGCCAGTCCAGGGGCCCCGTCCTGCTCCAAGGGCAGCAAGCTGTGTTCTGTGCACCAGAGGCCAGCAAGCCTGGGCAGAGAGCCGAGGGGTGTGCACCGAGCAAGCAGAGGTGGCCTGGCGGAGGGTCCGCACTTTTCCATGATAGTTTTCAGGGGGAGCAAGGGGAATACCCTGGAGTGTGAGGGGGGCACAGGGTCAGCTGGTGCATGACCAGGGAGAGGCAATGTCTGGCTGGATAGTGCAGTGGAAGGGGTGGTCATGAAGGACCGGGGCTGGCAGCGACCTAGCTCTCATCCCACCCTTCCTCCTGAGGTCTGCAGAGAACAGTGAGCTTCCTGGAGGAGACGTGCAGGTGTCATCTCAAGCCAGGCCTACTCCCCGGCCGCAGGCAGGCTGGGCAGGAGAGCCTAGTGCCGGCAAGGAGTGGAGCAGTGAGGCTTCTCAGAGGAAGCCTGGCCCTGTTGCCTAGACAAAAGGTGTCCCTGTCACACAGAGGTGCCTGCTGCTGGGGTCACTGTCTCCAGACCCTCCCAGGGCTGCAGACTTGTCCAGTCCAAGCCCTGTCCCCCACACAGATTCTGGCACACAGAGCAGAATGACCAAAACTGAATTGGCTTGAGAGGGCATGGGCAGGGGCCGTGGGGCCCGGGCTCCATTCCTGTCTTGGTAGGGGGCCCTTCCTGGGCTAGCTGTGGCACCTGGGCTGCTCCACGGCATGGCGTCTCAGTTGCCATTTCAACATGGGGCACTTGGAGCAAGACAGCACAGGGAGAAGGGTCTGTGGCCCCATACCCCGCACCTTCCAGAAGGAGCAGGACCTGCCCCACGCTCTCGTTCCCAAAAATTGCAGGGAACAGGGTCTGCTTTGGGCAGCAGTCCAAGTGGTAAGGATGGGGCGCTGGCCCTGCTGTGCTTGGTGGGTGAAAACCCCGGGACCCCTCCTGTGCATCCTGGCCACACAGGAACGGGGGCACAGGCTTTGCAGGGCACCTCACCATTTCTTACAGCTTTGTCCCGTCCCCAGGGCCACCCTGCAGGGGCTTCCCATTTTGCAGATTGGGATACCGTCAAGTGAAGAGGACAGCAGCCTTCTGCCCAGGCTGATGACTTAGGTAGAACAGGTGACTTGACAGGAGTCCTGGTGGCCCCCTGGGCACCTACAGAGTCCAGAGTCAGGGGTGGGCTCCGGGGCCTCTGGTGGCCATGGCGGTGCCAGCCGTTGCTCTCGAAGGGGGGCCCCCTCCTCCTGCAGCAGGCTCTGCCTAGGTTCGTGGCTGCTGATGGTTTACAGATCACTCAGTAGTTGCTCATTGCGGCATGTAACACGCACATTGGGGACTGAGTTGCAATGCTGAACTAATGAAGAAGCAGACGACTGGAAGCCACGCCATCTCTGCCCACAGGTCAGCCACCATGTCCACCTTGATGGAGATCAAGAGCAGTGTGCTCAGGCAGGTGCAGGTCTGCCCGTCCTTCCGCCGCAGGACTGAGGGGGAACCGGGGAGCACCAGCACTGATCCGCAGGAGCCCGCCACGGGGGCCTGGTGGGTGCCCCATGGCCCAAAGGGAGCCTAGGAGGGTCTGGACCCACGGCTGTGGAGTGCCCTGTGGACATCACACTGTGCCCTGAGGCATGCCTTGGGTCACGGGGGCAGGTGGATGGATGGTCTTGAGCTGGGGCGCATGTGCTGTGAGCCCTGAGCTTTGGGGAGGGTCTGCTGACCCCGAGCCCGGCCTTTCTCGGCAGGAAACCAGGGGATGGTGTGGAGTTCTTCACCCAGATGCGCCTCATCCTGAAGAAGGGGGAAGGCAGACGGGGCCTGCCATGCCCTGAGGTGAGGTCAGGGCTCAGGCACTGCTGTTTGTAACGTGGGGCGCCCTATGCCAGGCCTCCTCACATGCCCCCTCTGCATCCAGCCTCCACCCCCGCCACTCACTCCCTCTCTGGGCCACCCCCATCCAGCCGGCCACAGGATCCTCACCTTCGGAGACCCTCACCCAAGTTCTCCCCTCTTAGGTCCTGCTGCGCAGCAGCTCACCAGCTCCCTCTGAGCCCATGGACCCCAACCGCGGCCTGAGAGCGCTGACCCAGGAAGAGGTAAGATAGACAGGGCTCTGACCCTAGGCTGGGGCTGCGAGCACCTACTGTGTGCCAGGTTCAGAGTCCGGGAATTGGCAGACAGCAAAGGTGGCTGGGGGGGTGGCCGGCTCCCCATGGAAGCAGCAGGGAGCCAAGGTGAGGGATGCGTAGGGGCCCCCAGTGGGGGGTTGTGCAGGTGCAAAGGCGCTGAGGCAGGGAGCGGGCTCTGCCAGTGCCAGGGGCTGCTGAGGGCTGAGGCCTGGACTTGGGGTGGGCCACAGGAACCTGAGGGGAGACAACGGTGTGGTGGCAAGGGACTCAGGGCGTGCTTCCCACACCACCCACAGGTAGAGATGCTCTACGAAGAAGCCTTGTACACCGTCCTTTACCGTGCGGGGACCATGGGCCCTGACCTGGTGGACAACCAGGAGGCCCTGCTGAGCTACCTACAGCAGGTGAGCCCAATCGGCCCTGCTCACTGTGCTCTGAGAAGGACCACTGCCCACCCCTAACTCCCTCCCCCACCTGCTGACCTCACTGTCACCTGAACAACATACACAGATGTACCCCACGCATACAACACATACACATGTGTCTAGTCTGGCAGGCCCACCCAGAAGGATGGACAGACACACAGCACACAGAAGGGGAGAAGGAGGGGTAGACACATCTTGCAACTTCACCTGTGTGTGCTCCCCGACCCGTGACATTTGCAGTCAGGCATCCCTGGCTGGGGCCATGCCTGAGGTCCCCAGGGTGGTGACCAGCCTCACCTTGGAGGCCCCCTGGGCCCTCACACCTGCCCGCCCTCTCCAGGTGTTCGGCACCAGCCCCGAGCAGCATGCAGAGGCCATTGAGTGTGTGAAGAAAGCCAAGGTGAGGCTGCCACTTGCTTGTGCAGAGCTGACCAGCCACAGTGCCCATGTTCAGGGACTTGAGTGGGGGCACGGGAAAGGGCCCTGTTATGTTCACACTAAACTCCTAGAGGCCCCTCAGCACCTCTCTGCCCACAGGCCCCCACATATGCTCTGAAAGTGTCCGTCATGCGTGCCAAGAACCTGCTGGCCAAAGACCCCAATGGTGAGTGAGGACCAGCTGGGATGTTAGCCGCACCCAGACCTGGGGATCATGGACGGGAGGACTGAGGACTGAGTCCCCTGGAGTTGGGGACTGAGGCACTTGCTGTGTCCCAGGCTTCAGTGACCCATACTGCATGCTGGGCATCCTGCCAGCCTCAGGCACCCCACGGGAGCCAGGCCCACACAAGGAGCAGCGCTTCAGCTTCCGCAAGGGTGCCAAGCGTGGCAGTCCGCTGCCAGCTAAGTGCATCCAGGTCACCGAGGTCAAGAGCAGCACCCTGAACCCTGTCTGGAAGGAGCACTTCCTCTTGTAAGGCCCCTCGCCCAGCAGGATGGTCGGGCCGTGCCAGATCCAGTCCTGGGGTTGCATGCAGGCGCCTGTGACCGGAGGGCCACAGCTGTATGTGGTCTCAGTCAGTGCCTGCCCTAGAGCCCACTTCCCAGAGGAGAAAACTAAGGATCAGAGACAGGCATCACGCCCCCATGGCCACACAGCCTGTCATGGACCCCTCCTTGTGGCTCCTGGAATTGTCCCTGCCCCAGCTCTGGGCAGAGGATCACCTCAGACCCTCATGGGTACCTCTCCATTTTCCTCGTAGCGAGATTGAGGATGTCCACACAGACCAGCTGCATCTGGACATCTGGTAAAGGGGGTATGGGCGCCTCCGGTCTGAGGGTGGTGGGAGGCGACACATGGGTCCAGGCTGGGCTCCAGACAAGCCCGGTGCCCCCACCACCCAGGGACCATGACGATGACGTGTCCCTGGTGGAAGCATGCAGGAAGCTGAATGAAGTCATCGGCCTGAAGGGCATGAGCAGGTACAGCAGGTGGGACCCTGTGCCCCCCAGTGATGGTTGCTCCCGGGGGATCACAGGTGTGACACCCACCTGCTATGCCCAGGTACTTCAAGCAGATTGTCAAGTCAGCCCGAGCAAACGGGAGGGCTGGGCCCCCAGAGGACCACACTGACGACTTCCTGGGCTGCCTCAACATACCCATCTGGGTGAGTGGGCGCAGAGGCTTCACTCGCGGAACACTTGCTTGTGGGTGCCTCACCTTCCTGGGATACTGCCAGTGGCTGTGTCCTGTAATCCCCCCAAAGTCTACCATCCTTCATGAGCTGGGGGAGACCCTCGCTGAGAAGGGGAAGAACAGCCTCCTGGGGCCTCTCCATGCAGTACCCCTGAATGCTCACTCTGTGCTAGTTGCCCCAATTCAATGGAAAGCATGGAGGCCTCTGTTCTCCCCACAGTCCCACAGCGTCTGTGTGGGAGAAAATGAGATAGGAATCGCCATTCTGAACCCCATTCCCACAGGAGGTGCCAGTGGCTGGGGAGGACCGATGGTTCAAGCTGGAACCACGTTCCAGCGCCTCCCGTGTGCAGGGAGACTGCCAGCTGGTGCTCAAGCTGATCACCACGCAGGTGGGGAGCTGGGAGGGATTGTGGGGACCTCTGCCCTGCACCCCAGTCCCTGGCTCCGGGACTTGGTAAGGACAGGCTCTGCGTTCCAGAGGGACACGAGCATGAGCCAGCGTGGACGGTCGGGCTTCCTGTCCTACTTGCTGCTGCTCAGCCGTCTGCTGCAGTTCGAGCACCGACCTGACGAGGTAGAGGTGCCCTGGGGACCCTGGGGCAGCTGGGGGCGGCGTGGGGAGGGCCAGCGGTGGGGATCACGAGCAGGAGGGGTGGTTGTCTCCCACCACCACCCACACCCAGCCCCTCCCCCAGCCGAACTCGAGCAGCTGGAGAGGTGAGCTCAGCGGGCCTGCGGCTACCTTGTTGTGCCTGCACGGAGCGCAGAGCGACTTGTCTGTGCTGCAGCTGGCGGTGCTGTGAGTCCGCAGAACTGATGGCGAAGGGCGGGGCGGGGGCAGTTAGTGGGCGGGGCATAAGCAGGGGCATTCCCCGTTTGTGGGCGGGGCGCTTGGGGGTCTCCTGGGTTATGGGAGTTCCGTCCCAAGTCGCTGCCCTAGCTCTGGGCTGGGCCCCCACAGACACTGGCAGGTCAGCAGCCGCCACCATCAGACCTGTACCCTGGACTACGGCTATCTGCTGGGCCTTCTGGAGGACATGCAGGCGCACTGGGAGGAGGCGGCCTCGCTGCCTCAGGAGCAGGTGGGCTTCATTGTGTGACCTGAAAATGTTATTCCCGGAGGGTGTGCTGTGGGCCTGCTCAGGCTGGGGCAGATAGTGAGGGGCAGAGTCCTCTACTTGTTGGGTTCATGTCCCGCCAGGGCAGTAGGAGGTTGGAAACAAACAAACTGCATGATGTAGGAGAGAGCAAGGGGTAGACAATACTGACATTAGAGCTGGGAAAGAAGGTCATGCACTTCTGCTGGTAAACAACAGAGTGGGCACTGCAGAGACAGAACAGGGGGAACAGCAGGGGGAACAGCAGGTGGTGCAAAGGCTAGGCCATCTGTGCCACCAGGGGGCGCTATGGAGGTTGAGGTTGGAAAGGCCAGAAGGAAGAGGACTGTGGGGTTGGAAACTGCTCCTCAAGGCACAGCTTTGCTGACCTGCTGGCCCCGCCTGGTGGAGGAGGGCCTGAGGTCAACTATGAAGGGCCCTGTACCCGCAGGAGGAGAGCCTGGCTGACAGCTTCTCTGCCTTTTCTGAATTCGCGCTGCGCCTACTGCGCCAGCTCCGGGACTACTTCCCTGCCACCAATAGCACAGCCATACACCGCCTGGAGCTGCTGCTGAAGTGGGTACAGCCGCTGGCACAAGGTGGGGTAGGGGATCGGGTGGGGCAGCTAGCAGTCAGCTGTGGCTCCTCACCTAGGTGCCTGGACAAGCTGCAGCTCTTCCAGCCTTCCTTTGAAATCTGCCCCTTTGAGACCGAGCTGAACATGGACATCGCTGCTGCCCTGAAAGTGCGTCTGGCAGTCTGGGCTGGCCTAACTGCCCAGCCCCCGCCCCACCCACCAGCCCTGGCCGTGCTATAGTCCAGGCCCTGTGCCCTTCCTTGCCCTTCTTCCTTCCCACCTACCACATTGCCTTGGTGGTTTCCCTTGCAGAGAGGCAACCGTGAGTGGTATGACAGGCTCCTGAATGCTAAGAGTCCTCGAGAGCAGGTACAGCTCAGAGAGGATGTGGCTGTGAGGCGGGTATGGGTGGATGGGTGCAGGCCAAAAGATCGGTGTGAACAGTGCTTCCTTGCAGCCGGGGCTGCAGCGACTTGCTGGGCTGGTCGAGCTAGTTGACGCCATCTATGAGGACCTGCAGTCCTGCTACAGCATCTATGCCAGCCTCTTCCACAGGTGGCACTCAGAACTCTTCCTGCTGCCCCGGCACCCAGCCCCAAGGGCTGCCAGGGGACAGGGGTGAGCAGGTGTCTGAGATGTGTTCTTTGCAGCATCATCAAGATCGACTTCTTCACTCTCACCTTCCGGCAGCTTGAGCGGCTGGTGAGGCGGGGCTGGGGTGGGGAGGTTTCTCAGCTGGGAGGAGGCCTAGGTTTCCTTGTTGCTGGCAACCTGACTCCATCTTTCTGAGCAGGTAGCTGAGGAGGTGTGGGTACTGACAGAGGAGCTGAGCCTCAAAATGACCCTCGAGGTGGCCTCACAGCTCTTCGAGCTCTACCTGTCCCTGGCAGACATCCAGCGCTTTTGGAGCAGCATCCTGGGCAGGTGGGTGTCCTATCGCACCAACTTCCTCCTTCCTCCCCCACCTGTCCCCTGTCCCACCTGCACCCTCCCTGCAACTGTTCCCCTCCTTCCACCTGTCCCCCTGCCCAATCCACCTTATCTCCCCCTTCCCCTCCCTCACCTGTTGTCCTCCCCCACGTGTTTTCTAGCTTCCTCTAGGAAGGTTCTGGAACAAAAGCCCAAGAGCCTTGTGCTGGAGGCTCTCCTGGGTGCTCTTTAGGCTGGGGACCCTGGGCCATGCTATGCTAGCTCGGGCTGCCTCAGCTGGGCCTGCTTTGACTAGCTTCCTGCCACAGGGACAGCCGCTCCCTGGCCCTGGCCAGCATCCACGTCCCGTTCCTACCTGCTGTGAAGCTTTGGCTACAGGTGCTGAGGGACCAGGCCAAATGGAGGCTTCAGGGAGCTGTTGATGTTGACACAGTGAGTAAGCACCCAGTCCAAGGGGACTGGGACCTATCCCAGGTGCTGCCCAACCCAGGCCTCTTCTTGCCCTCCCAGCTGGAGCCTGTGGACAACTCCTCCAAGCACAGCAGCTCCGCAGCCACTGCAAGCCTCTGTTTCAGCCACATCCAGGAGCTGTGGGCCTACCTGGCATGGCCAGACCCTGCCCAGGCCCAGGTGTTGGGCACCCAGCTTAGCCAGGTGGGAACTACAGCCCGAGAATAGGTCAGGGCCCAGAGGGGCAGCAGGCCAGAGGAGATGGCCCACAGTAAGCCCCTGTGTCCTACCAGGACCTGTGTGAGGCTGCCGTCTTCTACACTGAGCTGCTGCGGAAGAAGGTGGACACTCAGCCCAGGGCCTCAGGAGAGGCAGTGAGTGAACCAGTGAGTGGTCTGGCAGGCAGGTGGCTGGGGGCAGGTGGCTAGGTGGGGCCACCACATGACCTCAGGAACACTGCCCTGCCCCACGTCTGGCACATCTCTCCAGCTCTGCGTGGTCCTCAACAATGTGGAGCTCCTGCGCAGGGCTGTTGGCCAGGCACTCCGAGGCCTGGCTTGGCCAGAGGGGGCCTCAGGGCTCCCTGGAGGGCTCCCACGCACCCTGCTCGGCTGCACACAGACCCTGGATGAGGACCTGCAGCGGGAGGCCTGCACTGTAACTGCGCACCTGACCTCCAAGGTGGGCAAGGAAGGTGGGGTAGGGACCCAACTCCCCGCTCCGCGCCACCACTGCCCTTAGTGCTGAGCACCACCCTCCCTCAGATGGTGGGCGACATCAGAAAGTATGTGCAGCACATCAGCCTCTCACCTGACTCCATCCAGAACGATGAGGTGAGTGCTTGTCCAGCTGAGGGATCAGCGTGGTGGGAAGTGTGTACGTGGTGGGACCAGGTACAGCCCGACCCTGAGGACCCTCCCCACAGGCTGTGGCCCCACTCATGAAATACCTGGATGAGAAGCTGGCCCTGCTGAAAGCCCTGCTGGTGAAGGAGAACCTGAACAGGTATGGCCTTGACCGGGTGGAGTAGGGCAGACTGGGGTCCAGTCACAGATTCTGTGTCCCTGCAGGGTGCTGGAGGCCCTCTGGGAGCTGCTCCTGCAGGCCATTCTGCAGGCGCTGGGCACCAACCTTGACATCTCTGCCGACTTCTGCAGTCGCTTCCACTTCACACTGGAGGTAGGACCTCGTGGAGGGCCCCTTCCCCTGCCGGGCTCAGGGGACAAGGCTGCTGCCCCCCCCACGCTGGGATGCCTGGTTTGCCCACTTTGGACAACCCCTCCCCTGGGAGTCCCAGGCCAGCATTTCCTCCCTGCCTGCACACTTGGGTCAGCACCTGGGCTACCTGTTAAGACAGCTGTCTGGCCTCAGGCATCAGTGTTTCCCCAAACTTCTTGGGGGCTTCTGCTGCTCCCCTCAGTGTGACAAGTGGCTCTTCCCTGGGCTCCCAAGATCCCAGTGCTACTCAGACTCAAGGCTCTACCTGTCTTGGTCCATTGCCACCAGCACACAACACAATCTGACACCTCTTCCTTCTGGCCGACCTAGGCCCTGGTTGCTTTCTTCCATGCGGATGGACAGGGTCTGCCCCTGGAGAACCTGAAGGACGGAAGCTACAAGGTGAGGCCTAGCCCTGGGCCGCTGCCCTGCAGCAGCCATGCCTTCAGGAGCCTGCGGGCTGGGGGAATTGGCGGCCACCTTCTTCCCTCCTCCCCCTGCAGAAGTTGGAGGAGGAGCTGCGTCTACACAAGTGCTCCACCCGCGAGTGCATCGAGCAGTATTACCTGGACAAACTCAAGCAGGTTTGCAGCCCAGGTGTGGGCACACTGCCTTGTCCCAGGGCCCTTGAGCTGGGCTCACTGGCTCAAGGGCCTTTTTGCAGAGGTCCCTGGGGCAGAACCGGTACGGGCGCCTGAGTGTTCGCTGCTACTATGAGGCGGCCGAGCAGCGGCTGGCGGTGGAGGTACTGCATGCTGCTGACCTGCTCCCCCTGGACACCAATGGTGAGGGACGGAGGCATGGGCAGGTGGGGTCAAGCCAGTGGGATGGTGGCAGTCTGCTCACATCCCTGCCCCACAGGCCTGAGCGACCCCTTCGTAATCGTGGAGCTGGGCCCGCCACATCTCTTCCCGCTAGTCCACAGCCAGAGGACCCAGGTCAAAAGCCGTACACTGCACCCGGTGTACGACGAACTCTTCTACTTGTGAGTGTTGCCCCCGCATGCCCAGCGCCCAGCCAAGCAGGGAACAGGGCTTTTGGTGATGGCCCTCTGCTTGCAGTTCTGTGCCAGCGGAGGCATGCCGCCGCCCTGGTGCCTGTGTGCTGTTCACGGTCATGGACCACGACTGGCTGTCCACCAACGACTTTGAAGGGGAGGCAGCCCTTGGCTTGGGCAGCATTGGCGGCATCGTGCGACCCCAAGTTGGGGGTAGCACGAGGGCTGGACAGCCCATCACCCTGCACCTGCGCCGGCCCAGAGCCCAGGGTGAGCAAGGGTCCGAGGGGGACGGTAGGTCTAAGGGCTGGCAGGGCCTGACGCTGCCCCTGCCCTCCTGCCTGCAGTGAGGTCCACACTGAGGATGCTGGAGGGCCGCACCAACAGGGAGGCACAGGAGTTTGTCAAGAGACTCCGGGAGCTGGAGAAATTCATGGAGGCAGACCCATGAACCCCCACACCTGCCAGCCCCAGAAACTCCCCGAGTCCCCATAGTGTCGTCTCAGCCTATGGTCAGCTTGCTACACCAGGACTTGTGGCATCCCCACCCCTGCTGTGTGGTATCCGTGCTGTGGCTGGGCCTTTGAGCTCCCGTCCACCCTGGTGTGTCCACGTGGTGTGTGCTATGAACCCCTTGTACCCAGCAAACACCCCGAACCCTGCATCTGGGCAGCCAGCTCAGCAGGGCCTGGACGCAGAGTGGAAGAGCCTGGCCGCCAGGTGAGTTTCCCCACCTGACTCCAGGGGGTTCCACAGCCCCAGGGCAGGCAGGCACTCATCTTAGAGCAGGGTTCTTAGTGGGGGCTTTGCCCCCCAGGGGACATTAAGCCATATCTGGAGACATATTTGGGGGTTGAAGGGGGTGCCCCTGGTACCAGTGGACAAAGTTCAGGGATGCTGCTTAATATCCTACAATAAGCCAGACAGGACCCTCTCCCCAACTAAGAATGGTCCACCCCCAATGTCACCAGTGCCATAGCAGAGCCATCTAGGGCAAGAGGAGCTCAACAGGCTGAGAGGCAGGAGGACCAGGGTTTGAGTCTGAACAACCCACACCGCAGAGAGCAGCAGCGCCCAGGGCTCCGGGCAGAGGGAGAAAGTGGGCAGCCAGTGCTCTCGCCCTCTCTGCGCTCTAGAGCCCTCCACCCACAGAAGCCTCGGGGAGAGGTTTGCTCAAAATATCATAGGTCTCCACCCCCCCGACCTGGATCCTAGGCCCAGGAGGGGGTCCCTGGGGTCACTCCGAGGCTGCTGGGTCAGTGTAAGGGCTCCACGCTGACTGGTCACCTGTCTGGCTTCTCCTTGTGTGTACGTGTTCGTACCCACATAAGACCTGCTCCATGGCCCACCATCCCCACAGCCCAGATCTTTCCCAGAAGGGTCTGCCTCACTAGAGGTTGACAGTCTCCCGCGTGCCCAGGCCAAGTGCAAAGAAACAGAGGCTCACACCGTCTCCCTGTCTGCAGCTTCATTGGGCATTCTGAGGCAGGACCCAGGTGAAGCCTATGACAGAAGCTGTGGGAGAGAACCTGACAGAGTCCAGTGCTGCTCGCAGATGTAATAGGCCCAGGCCGCCAGGCCTCTCTGTTCCCATCAGCCCCACTGCAGTCTCTAGACGTCCTCATCGCTCTGCCTCAAAAAATACATGTGTGCAACCTTCAGTCTCTCTGCCGTTTCTTGATTCCTTTCCAAACCTTGGTGGGGGCGCTGGCCTCTGACTCCCGCTCCAGTCTCTTCTCCTCTTCTGGGCTGCTGTCGCTGCTGCCTCCATCCTTGGCTTTAGGCTCAAGTTCCTCAGACTCTTCCTCACTGTCACTGTCGCCACTATCCCTGGGCAGCCTGGAAAGAGAGGTCTGTTCACTGAACGCATCATTCGTGGCTCGTCTGAGGCAATTCTTCCCTGGAACACTGACCCACAAAAGCCCCCAGGCTGAGTATAAATGCCTCCTATTCCTTGTGTTCTCAAAACCAAAACCTCTAGGTGGGACGTCCGCACCCCCTTTTCCATAGTCAAAACCACCATCTCCTCCCTACCCCGCAGCAGGAGGGGCTGAGGCCAGAGGCAGAGGACAGCCCTGGATCTGAGCTGTCACAAAACTGGGAAGCCTGAGGACCTACCGGGTGCCAGCCACAGGCCTGTTGGGGTTGGCAAACTCTCGTCCAGAATCCACGTCAAAGGGGTCTGAGCGGAAAGAGCAGCAAGGACAGTGACATGTGGGCAAGCTTTGAGTAGAACCCAGCCTTCCACTCCTGGAGCTTCTCAAGGAGGTGGCAGGTGTGGAGGACCCTAACCCCACCCAGGGGGGCTCAGGTCCACGCCCAGCCTCACCGATCTCCTCCTCGGGGCGCTCCTTGGCATGGGCCAGGAATTCCTGCTCTGCCTGCAGCACCTCCTCTGAGCTGCCGCAGGCTGCATACTTATCCAGGAGCTGATGGTTCAGGTCTAGGAAGGCCTTACCCCATTTGAACTTCCGAAGCAAAATGACAGCAAGGTCTGAGAAGCCTGATGCCACAGAAACAGGAAACCCAAAAATGTCAATCATCCTTTTCCAATCCTAAGTGTGTCTCCTGCATACTCAATGCTGTCCCAGACACTAAAAAGTCCCTGCCAGACACCACCTTATAATGCACACAGCCCATGGCTGACACTGAAGCCCACGAAATTCCCCTGCCCATGTCTCATAGGGCTGCCCATCAGGACCTCTATTGGGACCATAAAATCTCTGAGGATGAGTTGATGGAGGGCTCTCAAGGCAGTGGTGCCATGACAACAAGGCAAAACAGGAGTGCTTGCAGGCCAGCTATCCGTTTTGCCACCCATGGAGTGAGGACTTGTAAGAGGGAGCTGGAATGGAAACCCTGGTCTGTCCATCTCAACCACTTCCATGCACACCTTCGTTTCCCCTGGGACTTGCCAGCAGAAAACACACTGCTGGGCGCACAGCCAGGCCTCAGGGCTGACCTGATACTCACCCAGAATGCAGAAAGTGGCTGCAAAAGCCTCCACACAGGACAGTTTGCAGGGCCGGCCATAGTTCACGGGGTTGGCCGCCACCAGGTGGGGCAGCAGCCGAAAGTGGCTCCCCCGCATCTTCCCAAATGGTGTCTCCTCCAGTCTGGCCCAGGAGCAGTCGATGACAGCTACCCCCGATTGTGCCACCAGCTGCCTGCCAAGAGCAGCATAGGTTCTGGGAGCCAACACCACCTTGGTGAGAGCCCTAGAACAGGTATGTCCCTGGAGACTGACTTCACTAGGGATACAAGGACATCATTCCTCTGCCTCAAATAACGCCTGAGGGCCCTATAGGCCAAGCTTTGAAGCATCTAAGTAACTGGAACAGATTCACTTATTCACATGACTGTTTATTTGAGATCTAATATATTCTGGGCTCTATACTAAATAATAGGCCCCCTGCAGGGGTATCAAACTCATTTTCACCAGGGGCCACATCAGCCTAGCGGTTACCTTCAAAGGGCCGGCTGAATGTAATTTTAGAACTGTATCATTGTAACTACCCTTAACAGTTAAGTGAGAGCTCAGTGCTGCTGTCGGGTAGAAACAAGGTACCAGGTGGATAAAACAAGGTGGAGGACCGGATTCAGCCTCGGGCCTTGTGTTTGCCAACTGTACAATAAGGGCAAGCCAGACAAATAGATATAAAAAGATGGGTCCTGAAAGGTATGACGCGCCAGAGTCGGGGCTTATTAGGTCGAGAGAGTCCGTGCAGGCACCCCGGCCATTCCAACCCCCTCCTCTGGCCTCCTGAGCCTACCTGTCAGCGGGAGACACGTACTGGGAGCCCATGGGGCTGAGCACGAGGCCGCCGAACCTGTGGCCAAGGCGCAGGCAGCGCACCAGGCCTAGGCGGGCCAGCTTGCGGCCGGTGCAGCGCCGGGGGTCGCAGTGGCCCAGCTCCCACATGGCCAGCGTGCAAGGCAGTCGCACCGGACTCGGGCCGTCCATGTCCTCGGCCGCTTCCGGCTTCACGGACGCTGCACCGGGGAGAGAATGGGACGGGTAACAGGCACGGCTCAGCCGGTCGACCCTGGGCCTCCAACCCCAGCCCTGCCCTTGCCCCCAGTCACTCCCCACTCACCGCGCAGCGCGGCGCCCACCTCCTCTGCGAACGTTTCCAGAGATCGGCCCGCGGGACGCCGAGTGTGGCCCCCCTCGGCCCCAGGCCCGCGCGCTGCCCTCCGGCGGCCCATAGCGGACAGTAGCGCCTCCGCGACTCCCGGGCCAGCCCCTCCGCGGGCAGTCGGGCCAAGCGCCCTAACCTGAGCTAAACGCCACTTCTATTTCCGGTTCTCACGTGACCCGGCGGTCTTCACGTGACCGCGCGCTCGGCCGGCGCCGGGAGTGATGGCTGCGAGGTTGGCCCGCTTCTTGCTCGTGCTCGAGCTCGCAACGTACGGTTAGTGTCCCGGGTCCCAGCACCGCTCCTGCGACCCCGAACCCCCACCCCACCCATCCCCGCGCCCCCGCCCTGTTGTCCGCCAGCTTCCTCACGCCCCGTTCCACTTAGGGCCCGGGTACGCGGGCGCCGCCAAGATGAAAGTGGTGGAGGAGCCCAACACGTTCGGGTGAGCAGCCTCGCGCGGCGCGGCGGGGTGGGCCGAGGGGCGGCCTAGGGCCCGGTTTTCCCCTGACCCTAGTGTTTCCTGCAGGCTGAACAACCCATTCCTGCCCCAGACCAGTCGCCTGCAGCCCAAGAGAGAGCCGTCACCCGTTTCTGGTGAGTGCGGCACCCTTGCGGCAGACGTGGTTGTGGCCAGGGAGGGAGCAGGGAGCTGGCTTGGATTCCGGAGTGGACCTGGTCAGCGCCCGAGAGCCTGCTCGAGAGGGGCAGGGAGGGAAGGATGGCGTCGCAGGCGAGGGGTCCTGAAAATTAGGGCCTGGAGGCTTATGCATTGGCTTATCAACCTTTTACAGTTTTTGAGTGCGCGATAATATTCCAGACCTTCTTGTACCAAGTTAAATAGTTGCCTCCGGACTTAGTCGTTTATTTTCTTCTTTAGAGGTGGTCGCTGTTAACAATTTGGTGTCCATCCTTCCAGATGGCTTTTATGATTTTATGTGCTTAGGTATACAAGTAAAAAAACGTGCAGTAATTTTTGTGTGTGTGATTCTTGTGGGTTTCTTAATCTTTATTTATTTGTTTTTGGGGGATTGAACCATTTGCATTCTTTTTTTTAAACAATACTACTACCTTGGTCTGCGAATTTGCTGTTGACGTTCATTGTGTGTTTTGGAACTCTTAATGGTGATGGATGTAGACCTTCATTCTTTTCATTTGATACTTGGTATTCTGCAGGATGGCTTTGCAGCATGTTATTGTTGAGCATTTTGTTGCTTACGTTTTTCTTGCTCATTAGAAACAGTGTTGTGAAGAACATGCCTTGTAGGGATTGCTTCTTAAGTGGTTTCCTAAGAGAGCATCCTGGAAGTGGCTAGGTTGGTGTATGAAAATTAAATATAAGAAACAAAATCCAATATATATTTTAAAGATTTTATTTGTTTGTAGACGGAGGGGAAGGGAGGGAGAAAGAGAGGGAGAGAAACATCAACGTGTGGTTTCCTCTGGCGTGCCCCGGACCAGGGACCTGGCCGGCAACCCAGGCACGTGCCCTGACTGGGAATGGAACCGGCAACCCTTTGGTTCTCAGGCTGGTGCTCAATCCACTGAGCCACACTAGCCAGGGCTCAGTATTTT